TGGTGCAATGGCTACGGTAAAAGCATCACGTAAATCAACAGATGCCATGTAACAGTCTGTAGTTATCAGATTAATGACAGACTGAAAAGTCTCCATCTTAAAATGGTGGTATTTTACAAATCTGTTTAAACATTTCAAGTTAAGGATCATTCTATAAGATCCATCCTTCTTTGGTCGAACGAAAATGTTCGAAACAAACTGTCCATAATCATGGGTGGTTTCTTCAATCACTCCTTTGTTAAGGAGTTTTTCGACCTCTTGATCTATAATCTGCCATTCTTTAGGGCTTAAAGCAAATTGCTTTGGTACCTCCACTTGAAAAGGAGCGTTTTCGAATTCAATGTGTAATCCCTGAACTATGTCCAGTATGGAGGGATCTGAGGTTATTTTCCTCCATTCTGGGAGATACATATTCAGCCTACCCGCTACAAATGGGGTTGCTTGTGCACTAGTATTATTGTGAGTGCTCACCTGGGCTTCAATAAGGCATTGCATTTACATGCGGTATCCTTGGCCTTTCTTGCCTCGGCCGCATGAGTAGTTGCCCCTTTGGTAATTTGCATTGTAATGGCTGCTGCCACGCCAGTTTTTTGACGAGGAGCCACGTCCTGCAGCAAAGTAGTGAGAATATTGCCCTCTACGGGGTGGCCATGTAGATGCTGCTTTGTTGAAGCCATGTTGTGCATTCAATCTTCCAATTTTATTTCCAACTTTGTTAGTTGCACTGATGTCTTGCACCTTCTTGGGCAAGTCATCGCCGAACAGTTGTTTTGTTTGGGGAAATGCTTTGGGTGCATAATTGCCTGTACTATGAATTCAGATCTGGCTTAATCAATTCTCTTCGGCGATTATTCAACTCAAAATTGGCATGTGCTACCAATGTCATTGCATCAATTGCAAGTTTAACCTCTTCCTTAGAATTTTCTTTAGTCAAGAGTTTGTCAGTTAGCTGTACAAGTGGTACAAAGGATGTTATCAGTAATCCTTGCACTTTTTGACATTTGATGTCCATTGATCTTGTACTGGGTTTTAGTTGCGACCAGATTTCTGGGTTAACAACAGTTTTTGTGATATTTTCACAATTTTGTGGGCGAGGGTATGAGTTCTGCTTTGTTGTTAGTTTTTCATCAGAAACTTTTGATTTCAAAATTCTGTCCACTAGTGTTGCCAGTTTGTCCTTAACCTTTGGCCCAGTGTTGTCCTCAGCCTCATACTCCTGCTGAATGTCCCCTAGAAAATCAGTTTCATCTGATGCTTCATTGGCAGAAATCAGTAAATCATCGATTTGTGCGTCAGAATTTTCTTCAGCACTACTTTCCTGCAATTTTACTTTTTTCCCCACAGGATTACCGCTTTCGGTTTTAGCTTTGCGTTTTGGGTTATTTAACCCCGCAATATGAGCTGTCATAGCACCCGCTATTTGGGAAAAACCTTGTTGCATGTTAGCCATAAAGGAATCATTTAAATTCTGCCACATCTCAGCATTATTAAGCGAATTATCGCCTTGCTGAGTAGATAATGAATCTGAGGCATTTGCCCGCGATCCTCAAGTCCTTTTAGGTGCAGGTTTTTTACCTTTTGCAGTACCCTTGCCTTTGCCTTTACCACCTTGTTGTTTAACAGCGGGTGGCACTGGGTGACTGTCCGGAGATTTCTCCATAGTAGGTTGGTTTCTCTCACCTTTAGTAGGTGTGGCATGCGGAGAAAAGTCTGACATAGCAGACAAGGTATCCAACTCCAACACGCTGTCGCCATAGGCTTCAGTCATGGTATGTACATGTAACGCAGCGTGTGCTAAGTACAATTGAAATTCGCGCTGGAACAATTACGTCCGTCTGATCCTCGGCTGGGTTTCAAGCACAATGATCTGCTGGGCGGCGGGCGCTATCTCATATGGTCTCGGAGTTACGTAATGGAGGTGACGTAGAATCAAACGCACCCATTGTTGATATTTCGTTTGGGTACAACTATAGAATGCAGGGCCACTTTACTCTACATCCACGCCTCCGTACGGCTGCGTGGAGGCGTGGAGCCGCAGTCGACCTACCTCCGAAAATCGACCGTGGAGTCGTGGAGCCGCATAAAAGCTTTGTGCAATCCGTTCAAAGAATATCACCATTTAAACACAATGACCCTAAAACCTGAGGTTCAATGGCCTGACTGGATGCTGACCAACAAGTCGTTAAAGTTTTTTAGGTACAGTGAATTGGGTGTAGAGAGTAAACTGGATTTTATTTAACTAAAACAGCCTAATTCGTACCAAAGGGCAATGGAGGGGATGATCTTCTCCTAGGGTACAACGGATCGATGTTGACCAAGTCGTTAATGTTTCTTATAGGAAAAGGCAGAGAGTAAAATATGTGGGCTTATAGTGAGCGCAAGCTGTACGTCCGTGGTTATGGACAGGGGTTGAGTTTCTGATTGTAGGACGTGTGGATCCTCCCCGGTATACCTACATACAAACAATATGAAACACTGACTATTTTTGAACTGTAATACCATCTAGGAATCATTATGTTTAAATTCGAAGGTAACCTACTACCTACAAATATCAGGTCCATGTTTGTGAGGAATCTAGATGTCCATTTACATAACACAAGATCAGCCAAAAAAATTCACATTGGTAAGGCTAGGACTGCATCATTCATGAAAATAGTTAGACACCAAGGCCCCCTTCTCTGGAATCAGCTTACACCTATACCCTTCTTTCGGGCTGTGCATAGATTCAAAAGATATCTTTAAAAAATCTACATATTTTCGGTATTATATAAGACGTGCATCCATAATTCACATTTGTATATTATATTGACTCAACTCGAGTCAGTGCGAGCAAATGACTCGACTCGACTCGAGTCCCTCATCAGAATGACTCGACTCGACTCGACTCAGGCTAATAAGACTCGAGTCCCAATGATAAAAGCAAAACTTACGATTTCTTACTCAGCCTGGAAGAAGAAAAATACCAGAAAAATAGAGTCTATGCTTGAGAAGGTGATAAGTATTTTGTCTGATAAGATTTTTGAGGGTGATTTTGACTCAGTTGATCATTTAAATGCCAAGCAAGCAGATCTTGTTGAGCTCCGTAAAGCTAAAATGGAAGGAGTTTTAATCAGATCCAAGACTCGATAGATGGAGGGAGGTGAAAAACCTTCCAAGTATTTTTTAAACCTAGAAAAGCGTAACTTTGTTAATAAATCGATTAATGATGCTAACTGTAGATATACTAGCTCCTATGATATCTTGCAAGAGGCTAGGAGTTTTTATCAGAAGCTTTACTCTACACAAACAGTAGATGATAATATTGATGTTCAATCAATTTTTGCCGCTGCTGATAAGACTATCCTTTCCGATACCATGTGAGATAGCATTGAGGGGCCTCTATCCCATGATGAACTTATGCACGTGTTAAAAAAAGCAAAGAACGGAAAGTCCCCCGGCTCTGATGGCTTCAGTTTTGAATTGTATAATTGTTTTGCCTCAGAACTCTCCTGGTACCTTTTGCGTTCATTGAATGGTGCTTATACTTCTGGTCAACTTTCGGTCACTCAGAGATATGGAATTATTACTCTTCTACCAAAAGGGGACAAGCCTCGTCAGTACTTGAAGAATTGGCGCCCTATCTCGCTTTTAAACACGTCGTATAAAATCGCTTCCGCCTGCATTGCAGAGCGAGTTAAATCATGCCTCCCGTATATTATTCATGAAAGACAAAAAGGTTTCATGGCTAATCGTTTTATTGGCGAAAATATTCGGTTAATGTATGATTTACTGAATGTCGCTGACTCCAACAATATTCCGGGTTTATTTCTTTCTATTGACTTTGAAAAAGCATTTGACTCTATTTCACATAGTTTTATTTTTAAAGTTCTGGACAATTTCAATTTTGGTCCATCAGTCAAAAAATGGATCAAGGTACTTTATAACCAAGCCTCCTCCTCAGTTTTAGTCAATGGATTCCTTTCTGAATCATTCCAGATCGGGCGAGGTTGTAGGCAGGGAGATGGGTTAAGCCCTTATTTGTTCCTTTTGTGTGCAGAAGTTTTATCCATGATGGTATGTAATGACAAAGAATTTAAGGGCATAAAGGTCGAGGGAACGGAATTTCGATTATCCCAGTACGCTGATGATACGGTTTTCTTTTTAAATGGTACCGAGAAGTCAATGCGGGCGGCTTTTAGAATTCTTGGCCTATTTGCTGGTATGTCTGGTTTGAAAATTAACGTTGATAAAACGAATGCCATTTGAATTGGTTCAATGAAGGATTGTAGGGAGAAGCTTTGCGAAGAGATTAACGTGAACTGGGTTGAGGCCGAGCATACCTTTAACATTCTTGGTGTTGAGTTCTCCACAGATCTTAATTCTCAATGGTTTTGTTAAAGTATTACAATAAGATTATTCCATCCTTACGTGGTCAAATTTTTAACTGGTCTAAGACATTTGACTGTGCTAGGCAGAATTGCTGTTGTGAAATCATTGCTTTTGTCCAAACTTACTTACCTGGTGTTAACCATTCCTGATCCCCCCTGTACTATGATCAAGGATTTAAATACTATGTTTTTCAATTTTATTTGGAAAGGTCACGATCGTGTCGCTAGAAACCAAATGATCCAAGATTATGGTGGGGGGGGGGCTGCGAATGATAGATGTTCGGGCCTATATAGATGCTTTAAAAATCACGTGGTTGCGTAGACTTTTCAAAGCAGATTCTTCAGGCTGGTCTATATTGTGTAATTTGGTTTTTGGCGACACTCGTCTGTTTTTATTGGAAGGTGGCTTTGCGAAAATTATTTGCAATGGCTTATGCTGGTGCCGGTTTTTGTTCACGTCACGTTAGAATGTATACATAGGCCTACGTGGTTTGATCAGTGTCTCCATTAGTTGAATGGCGATCAGCTGGCACCCCCGTTGTATTTTCATTAAGAGTCAAATGTGGTGTCACCACATGTAGTAGCCCGAATGCAAAATTAAAAAAGCCCCAAAAATGACTTTCTCTCTTGTGTTTATTTATTGCATAGTGTTCAATTGTGACTCGAATTGACTCGAGCTAAATACTTGACTCAAATCGACTCGACTCGAGTCATTTCTTTAAAATGACTCGACTCGACTCGAGTCACAAAAATCAGTGACTCGTTACAACTCTGGCAAATGATCGATGGTCTTGCTACAGTCATTGCAAACGAAAGTTATTCCCGATTCCGCGACAAACGACTCGGTGATGTGTTTCACTTGGCGCCGACCCCGGGACCAGCTCCTCTCCAGGTGCCAGGCCTTCACGTACACCTCCTTCCAGTCACAGCTTTTGGTAGTTGGTCCCTCTGCCTCGTCAAAACCGTCAACCGAAGGAGCTTGCGAGAATGGTGCAACGGTACAGCAATTGCTGGTCGTAGCACACGGGGCTTCGGAAGTTGAGCGTACTACACCAAAACGCTCCCAGTTCTTCAGCTTACATAGACTGGACCAGCAGTTGTCGTTGGAGGTGATCTGCTGCCATGCCTTGTTGCAAGCACCAAGGTGACACAGGTCTTCAGCAGAAAGGAAACTTAAGATTGTGGAAATCACCTCCACCGGTAAATGGTCCAGCGGATCCTGTCGGTCTTGAGGCGGTTCATTCATTGCGCCGATATGTAGACGACACCATTGTTTTAAAGTCGAGTTTCTGTAACGACAAAAGTTGATTTGAAGTGAGTATCATTGAGAGTCTATACCGTTTTGCTTTTATATTTCGTCGGTGAACGTCAATTGCATAGCGTATTCCATCGGAAGCTTCGAAGACGTAAATGCCGCGGTTTTGCTCTTCACTGACGTAATGTTTTTATACTATTGTGGCGTGATGGGGTGGGCCGACACCAGTCTAATTCCCCTTATTTGGTAGTGTTTACTTGTAATTTCTTGGCAAGGAAGTCAGGTCGTGTCAGCGGACAATGTCTCGTGGTTTTGGCGGGAGTGGCCGCCAATCGGAGCGCGCTCGCTGTTGCTGGGCGGGGCGAGGCAGGCCGTGACCGCACTGCAATCTGTGTTTTCCTGTATCCGCGTATGCGCGATTGGTGTTACCGGGCAGAGGTGAAAGGTTGGCGGCCAATCACGGCGTGATTGGGCGTGGCCCCGCTACCCTTGCCGTGGTACTTGAGCGCATGGTCGGCCGGGCGTGCTTCAGTGTCCAGTTGCGGAGTTCAGTTGGTTCAGTTGCGTAGTCCAGTTGCGTAGTTCAGTTGCGTGAGTTGCGTAAGTTGTTCCTCAGTTCTGTGTATGGAGCGGGTTCAGTAGTAGTGTACAAGTGAAATTGCCATTGTCCGTGACGAAGCTAGCGTTTGCTTTGGCGAGGCCGTGTGTGGTGCAGTGTACCGGTGTTGACGCTGTTTCGGCCTGACTTCTCGTACCGTGGTTGAGCGATTGTACGGAGCGCAGAGCCCCGTGGTGTGACCCAGTTAGCCTGGTAGGACCGAATTGCTTTATCGTGTAATTCAGTGCATTTTTGTACCATTGTTGCAGTTGAGTGTTTGACTTACAGAGTAGGGTGACTAAGTACAGGCATAAGGATTGTTGTCGTGGGTTCACAGAGACGTGCGATAACATAGAGGGTCGACCCAGAGGTTGACATAGAGGCCTGGGAGGAATAGTCACAGGTAGTCAATAACTGCACTCGGTCAAGTTTATTGTCACACGGGTTTTGTCGCATACTGATCAGCTAAGGCGCTCAAACTTATACAATCATAACAATCCAACGATAATAACCTTATAAATCAAAGAGTTCCCAATCAAGTCAGAATTGTCCGTGATTAAATAAACCAATCATTTCCTTTCCACAAAGAGAATTGTGTATCCCAGTGTCCAATATTTCTGCAGTTTCTTCGTCTGTTTGTTCTGTTCTGTACTAGAGTAACAGGGCCTGGTAATCAGTATCCAACTGGGCGGTAGATTTCCACCAAAACGAGCTTGCATCCCTGGGCCTAGAGGCTGCTCGAAAACTTCCCTAGGTTCGAGGCAGAAAACATAGTTTGGGGTTAGGGGAACTTTCGCCTCAGTCGGTGATTGCCTTCCCTGACCTCTGGTTTCAATTGACCTCGGGAGATTCCGCCACAAATGGTGTCAGAAGTGGGATAGTTGGTACTGATTAAAGAGTTGGCCAGTAGAAACAAATTGCGTCTTGTTCTAGAAATCAAGCAGGATTTTGAGTACAGTGATTTCTGTGGTTGAAGAGTAATCATAGAAAGAGACAAACATGAGTCAAGAGAATACTTCGAGTATTGAGAGTGAACTGCAGAAGCTGAGATTAGATGCTCAATTTTTGCAATGGGAGAAAGAGTTGATGGCTAAGAAATTAGAAGCCATGAGAGCCAATTATGAGGAACCTTCCCCGGTGGGAAGTATAGACAAAAAGAGCCAAGAACAGGGGCCAGTGCGGATCGATTCGGAAATCGAGTTCCTGATGCCAAGAGAGAGTTCTGGTTATTTTTCCCAGGGAGGGGCGAGTCCCTCGGTGACCGCACGGTCGCCTGAAGTTGAACTTGGACCAAGGATGGGAAAAAGAGTGAAGTTTGGGGAAAGTACACCCCTTAAGAGTAGTGGTGTAGGAAGTACCCGTCCAGAGATTTTAACGGGGAGCAGTGCAATAGAGGAGCTCCAGTCCTTTCTGTTGAGCACGGATAGCACTGTAGAGAACCCGAGTAGGGGAGAAACAGTTTCTCCTGAGAAAGTAGATAGAGATTTGCTGAGTTTCGCCCCGAGTTCAGTGGGCACAGGTGCCAACAGTTTGGCAGGTAGTTTAGAGACCTCAGCAGGGCCCTTAACGCCGACAAGTGAGCCCAAAGTAGTGGCAGAGAAAGAGAGGAGTGTCGAGCGGCCAATTAGTAGACGGCCAAATATCACTCCTGATAGATACAATGGCAAGGTGCTATGGAAAGAGTATTTCAGGCACTTCGAGTCTTGCCGGTTGGTGAATCAGTGGAGCGAAGAGCAAGCGGCTAAATATTTGGTAGCTAGTTTGCAAGGCAATGCCCTAAGATTGTTGGGTGACGTTCCCACTGAAAAGACACAGTCCTACAGTGGGCTGTTGAAGTTGTTAGAACAGAGATTTGGCTCAGGCCGCCAGAGTGAAAATTACCTTGTCGAGTTGCGGCATCGCCGACAAGGCCCAAAAGAGTCATTGCAAGAGTTAGGCCAAGCCATACAAGAGTTGACGGTTAAAGCGTACCCTGACATACAGGAAGAGTCACGTGACCGGTTGGCTAAGAACCATTTTCTAGATGCGGTCGAAAGTAGGTCAACTCGGGAGGGCATAAACAGGGCTCGTCCTGAAAATTTAGATGAGGCCATTCGAGCTGCAATAGAAACAGAGAATTTCGAAAAAGTCGAGCAACAGAGAATGCTCGATGGAAAGCCTCCGAGGTTGGCTAGAGTGTTAGATACCGGGGTGGAACAGAGGATCCACGAATTGGAGAATGGAATGAAAAGTTTGGCTGGACTGTTAACAGAGTTAACGAAACAAATCCAGGAAAAGAGTGACCTAGTGGGGAAACCTGCTGACCAGAAGTCACAAAAGAGTGAGCAAAGTGTTAGGAAATGCTTCAATTGTGGGGAGCGAGGTCACTTTGCGCGAGAGTGCAAGAAACCAAAGAAGAGTAGTCCAAAGCGTGATGGCTGGAAGTGTTTCAATTGCGGAGAACACGGCCACATTGCCAGAGACTGTAACAGACCCTCAGGGGGAGAGCCTGGGGCAGGAAAAGTCGAGCCAGCTGCTCGAGGGGCCCGTAGGCACCTCGGAAGTGCTAGAGGGGCAAAGAAACGATGGAGAGATTGCAAGGGGGCCATAGGAGAGAAGCGGCGAAAGTATGAGGAGGGAAAGGTAATTACGTTACCGAACCCAAATAGTGATGCCCGCTTTGGTTTGTTTGTAGAGGGTGTAGTGAGAAAAACCAAGTGCCAATTTTTGGTTGACACTGGTGCCACAGATACATTAATTAGTAGCACAGTGTATTATGAGATACCCAAGGAACAGAGACCAGTCTTAGAGTCAGACAATGTGAAAGTGAGACAGGTGGATGGACGTTCCCTGTCGGTGTTAGGAGTCGCCTGGGTCGAAGTTCAAGCTGGACGAACAACGCACCCAGTCAGGGCGATTTTTACAGAGATGAAGTATCCCGGAATTCTGGGGATGGATTTCTTGTTGCCCACAGGGGGTAACTTGGATTTCCACACCAAAGAATGGAGAATAAATGGCGAGAGAATTAAATGCACTAGTAGTGCTGGAGAGCCATTTGTTGGGAGAGTGGTAATTGCTGAAGCAACCGTGATTCCATCTGGTTCTGAGGCAGTAGTGCCTGGCACTATTGCTCACAGAGGAAAAGAGTGGGCTGGCCCAGCCATAGTGGAACCGCTAGAGGGGGGCGGAGATTTAGCCCAGAAAGGCTTGGTCTTGGCCAGGTCACTAGTGGAGTCAGGGAACCAAATTGTTCCGTTGCGGCTGTTCAACCCAGGAAAAGAGAAAAGAGTGGCGCGAAAAGGGACCACTGTGGGATTAATTTCCACCGTGGACCCTGAGACAATAAGAGGTGAGGCACATGAGTCTGAAAAGGCAAAGGAGGGCTTGCCCACATATTTGCAAGACTTGTATGCAAGGAGTAGAAACCATGTAGAGACCAACTATCATGGTCAAGTTAAGGAGTGCTTGATAGAGTTTCAGGATGTTTTCTCCAGCAGTGAGCAGGATATTGGTGCAACTGATGCCGTGAGGCATCACATTGATACTGGAGAAGCGAGACCAATAAAAGAGAAACCGAGACGACACCCCGACTGTGTCCAGAGAGAGATACAGAGACAGGTCATTGACCTGGAGAAAAGAGGTGTGATAGAACCCTCGGATAGTCCGTGGGCAGCCAATGTAGTGTTGGTAAACAAGAAGCCACAGAGTTTGAGGAAAGAAACCCTGAGGGAGGTGCACGGTGGACTGCTTAGTGGTCATTTGGGCATAAAGAAAACCCTTGCCAAAGTAAAGAGAAGATATTTTTGGCCAGGTATGTCCGCAGATGTTCGCTCCTTCATAAGGGGTTGTGACCTCTGTGCAAGAAGAAAGTCCCCTGCGAAGAAAGGGATTGCACCCTTGCAACAATATAGAGTGGGAGTGCCTGTAGAGAGAGTGGCCATAGATTTGCTCGGGCCACTGCCCAAAACAGAGAGTGGGAACCAGTGGATTCTCGTAGTGGGTGATTACTGTACAAAATGGATGGAGGCCTATCCATTGCCTGACGCAACGGCGGGTACAGTAGCACTCAAACTGGTGCAAGAGTTCGTGTGTAGATTTGGAGTACCACAAGAACTCCATTCTGATCAGGGCACCAATTTTGAGTCAGAAGTCTTCACAGAAATGTGCAAGGTCTTAGGAATCACAAAGACAAGAACGACAGCATACAATCCTAAATCGGATGGTATGGTCGAACGGTTTAACAAGACACTAGTAAACATGGTGGCTGTGCTGATTGACCCACAGAAGAGGCATAGAGACTGGGATAAATTCCTCCCTTATGCAACCTTTGCGTATAGATGCACCCCACAAGACTCCACAGGGGAGTCCCCCAATATAATGATGTTGGGGCGAGAAGTCAGTATACCAGTTGACCTGGTCACCGGTAGTCCAGAGACAGGGTTTGACACTCGGACAGACTTTGCAGAAGAGTTGCGAAGAAATTTGCAGAGTGCACATCAGAGGGCTAGAGACTGTCTAGGAAAAAACTCCCAAAGACAGAAGAGAAACTATGACAGAAAAGCCACCCATAAAGGGTTGAAAGAAGGAGAGTTTGCCTGGCTGCACAACCCGGCTAAGAAGAAACAGTTGTCCCCCAAATTGCAGTTGAGATGGGAGGGACCGTGGCTGATAGTTAGGAGATTGTCAGATGTGACCTTCCGAATACAGATACGGAAAGGGGGAAAAATGAAAGTGGTGCATTCTGACAGACTGAAGCCATACCAGGGTGAGAAACTGGTACCCTGGAGTCACTCTCCAAAAGCATGTGAAGAAGCTCCTCAGATTGATAGAGCAGGAGAAAACCCTCGAGTCGAAGTGACAGAAGAGACTCCTCATGTTGAGGAAACAGAGAAAACAGAGCAAATAGAGCAAGAAGAACCGGAAATAGAAGCTCCGGTAGAAAATGGGGATGTTCAGATAGAGGTTGACCCCATCAGAGTGCCAGAGAGGACCAGTATGTCTCGGAGGAACCCGAGGAGAGAGCATCGCCTGCCTGTAAGATACCGTTAGAGTGGCAGACTTTGACTCATCTATGCCACCCCTAGAAGAGATGACCCCCTCCCCCTCCCGAAGTGGTCGTGACTCACCTCCGTTGAAGATGAGGAGACTCGTCACAATCCGAGTAAGGACGACCACCGAAGTGATCTACCGCAACAGGGTCGTTAAGAGAAACGACGAGGTCATCGAGCATCTGCGAGAGACAGAGCTGGACGCTGCACTGGATGATCCTCAGGAGGACGGGACCCAACTAGCAAGTCCTTAGGGCCAGTTAAAGTTTATCTAGTGTTAGTAGTTGTTTTTAGTTTTAACAGTTTTGTCGGTGCTATTTAGTGTGTAAAAGAGAAGTTATTTTTTTATCTTTACAGTTTTAAAATCAGTGATTATTGCCTTCATCTTGTTTGAAAAGAAATCCGTCCATTGGTTAAAATGATTCCCAGTTAATTTTGGATACTATTCGAGTTTAAGTGTGATTTTCCATCTGTCTTATCCCTAAAATTATCTGCATAAATTGTAATCTGTTGATACAAAACATTTCCTTGTACGAAAAGAAAAACAATCAGGAAAAGTGCTTTTATCTTTGCCGAGGATTCATGATTTCTAAATAAATTGTGTGGTTCAAATTCATTGTAAGGAAAACTTTACCATGTATAAGCTTAGTTTTGTGTAAAGAAAAACATAACATTAGTTTTGTGTAAAGGAAAACATAAGATTAATGCTGTATAAAGGAAAACATAAGCTTCATTCTGTGCCAAAGAAACACATAGTTTGGTTTTTGTGTAACTGAAAAACATTAAGTTTATTTTTGTATAAAGGAACACATAAGTTTAGTTTTGTATAAAAGAACACATCAGTTTAGTTTTGTATAAAGAGAAATCATAAGTTTAGTTTTCTATAACGAAAAACATAAGAGTGAATTTTACGTGAAGTTTAAAAAGCTTGTGCATATTTAATTAGCTAGACTGGTGCCGGTCACCCATCTCGTGACTGGGTTTGAGCTGGTTTGGACTGGGACAGTCCAAGCTCTGCTCGGTCCTGTGTGGCGTGATGGGGTGGGCCGACACCAGTCTAATTCCCCTTATTTGGTAGTGTTTACTTGTAATTTCTTGGCAAGGAAGTCAGGTCGTGTCAGCGGACAATGTCTCGTGGTTTTGGCGGGAGTGGCCGCCAATCGGAGCGCGCTCGCTGTTGCTGGGCGGGGCGAGGCAGGCCGTGACCGCACTGCAATCTGTGTTTTCCTGTATCCGCGTATGCGCGATTGGTGTTACCGGGCAGAGGTGAAAGGTTGGCGGCCAATCACGGCGTGATTGGGCGTGGCCCCGCTACCCTTGCCGTGGTACTTGAGCGCATGGTCGGCCGGGCGTGCTTCAGTGTCCAGTTGCGGAGTTCAGTTGGTTCAGTTGCGTAGTCCAGTTGCGTAGTTCAGTTGCGTGAGTTGCGTAAGTTGTTCCTCAGTTCTGTGTATGGAGCGGGTTCAGTAGTAGTGTACAAGTGAAATTGCCATTGTCCGTGACGAAGCTAGCGTTTGCTTTGGCGAGGCCGTGTGTGGTGCAGTGTACCGGTGTTGACGCTGTTTCGGCCTGACTTCTCGTACCGTGGTTGAGCGATTGTACGGAGCGCAGAGCCCCGTGGTGTGACCCAGTTAGCCTGGTAGGACCGAATTGCTTTATCGTGTAATTCAGTGCATTTTTGTACCATTGTTGCAGTTGAGTGTTTGACTTACAGAGTAGGGTGACTAAGTACAGGCATAAGGATTGTTGTCGTGGGTTCACAGAGACGTGCGATAACATAGAGGGTCGACCCAGAGGTTGACATAGAGGCCTGGGAGGAATAGTCACAGGTAGTCAATAACTGCACTCGGTCAAGTTTATTGTCACACGGGTTTTGTCGCATACTGATCAGCTAAGGCGCTCAAACTTATACAATCATAACAATCCAACGATAATAACCTTATAAATCAAAGAGTTCCCAATCAAGTCAGAATTGTCCGTGATTAAATAAACCAATCATTTCCTTTCCACAAAGAGAATTGTGTATCCCAGTGTCCAATATTTCTGCAGTTTCTTCGTCTGTTTGTTCTGTTCTGTACTAGAGTAACAGGGCCTGGTAATCAGTATCCAACTGGGCGGTAGATTTCCACCAAAACGAGCTTGCATCCCTGGGCCTAGAGGCTGCTCGAAAACTTCCCTAGGTTCGAGGCAGAAAACATAGTTTGGGGTTAGGGGAACTTTCGCCTCAGTCGGTGATTGCCTTCCCTGACCTCTGGTTTCAATTGACCTCGGGAGATTCCGCCACACTATTGCTGTCACTGAGTATATACGGTGATTACACAAAAAGTGGAGGGCAAAACTCAATATAAAATCTCTCACATAAGATTCGTGGCAGATATCGAAGCTGAGGGATTTTGCTTTCCTTAAAAGGCATCCGATTGTCTCCACAGGGATACAAATAAAAGTCACGGACGCAAGACAAAACCGATATAAATCAGCCCCGGCCCTAGCCCCATAAATGTGGCCTATTTACTGGACTGCCTCCGTAAACATAGGCCACACATCCACATGTACAAAAATCGTGTCGACGGAGCCAAATTTTGATTTTCACATTTAGGCTTAGTTTGTAGGTTTTTTTTGCTTTAGAAGCATACTCACCCTCTTTACAGGCTAATCAGTAAGTGCTGCCTTTTTCAGATGTATATTTTTCGTGAAATTTCCAGATTCATTTTTACACGTTTGCGTATCAAAATTTCAACATGAAATTTCACAAAAATTAGACATCTGAAAAAGGCAGCACTTTCTGATTAGCCTGTAAAGAGGGTGAGTATGCTTCTAAAGCAAAAAAACCCTACAAACTAAGCCTAAATGTGAAAATCAAAATTTGGCTCCGTCGACACGATTTTTGTACATGTGGATGTGTGGCCTATGTTTACGGAGGCAGTCCAGTAAATAGGCCACATTTATGGGGCTACCCCGGCCCATGCCTAGTCCAAAAATTTGGGACTCTCAATATTGTGTCCTCCATTCTCCATGGTGTCCCCAAATTAAGGTACTCATGCAACGTATATGAAATAGACTGGCGCATGAAACAACCAGTCCACCACCCCTAAAGTACTGCATCAGTCAACTGTGTCAAAAGGAAACATCTGGTACCGGTCTCTATTTCTACACATCTATCCAAAGTCTGCCACTAGACTACTGAAGAGGTTAGTCTTTTCAAAAACTTGGACATGTAGGCCTACCATATATAGTCTTATAGGCTTCAAATTGAAATCGCTTGTCTTCACTCTCAGGTGCAAAATGTTGAAGAAAAGTCTCCCTTAAAAATTGAATTGAGACTTAATTACTTCAAACTTGGCTGGTGAAATATGAGGACCTTGTCTTTGCCTCATGAACATTTTGGAAAATTTTGTCAGCTAAATAGTGAGTAGGTCCCTAAAGTTGTTTCTGCATGCATGTTTCTGCACTCAAGGTCCCAGTCTGAACATGAGATATGACAGGAACTTAAAAAAAAAAATCCATCCAAAATTTGAACTGAAATCCATTCTAAGTTGCCTCAGCGGGCGAGCAATAACGCTTGGCTTGTCAACAACACTGTTTACAAAATAAATATCGCAAAAGTTGCCGTATTACTCAACTTCAAGGCTTACCGATCAAGCGTCTTGCGCTGCGCATCTTGTCCGGCCGAATGATCATGCAAGTACAAATGTAGTACGGTACGTACTAGTGGGGGAGCCTGAGGACCTTTGCTCCCGGGAACATCTTCCGACAGGCAGAATTAAATCGACTGAAAGACGGACTCAATATGGGGGGCAATGTGTTACGTAATAGGGGCGGGAAATGTCAAACTAAGAAAGCCCTAGTGTCGTGAGGCGAGAATTCTACCCACGGTAAAGCATGACAATAGGGACAAAACAAATGTAAATGAGTACGCTACGAATCATTAGTATTATATTGGCCATTCGAGCGTGAAGAAAACCTCGATTATTTCTTGGATTGACTCGGAGGCATTTCTGAATTGTTTTTTTTTTTTAGGCCTAGTTGCACAGGGTTGGATGGCCGGGGGTCTAGTCTACTACGGTGGCCCACAACTGTCACGGCAAAAGCAAAAGCACCACGGCAAGCGCATAAGCGCCGCGGCAAGCGCAACAGCGCCGCGGCAAGCGCAACAGCGCCACGGCAAGCGCAAAAGCGCCACGGCAAAAGAAAAAGCGCCACGGCAAAACAAAAAGCGCCGCGGCAAAAGAAAAAGCGCCACGGCAAAACAAAAAGCGCCACGGCAAAAGAAAAAGCGCCACGGCAAAACAAAAAGCGCCGCGGCAAGCGCAAAAGCGCCACGGCAAGCGCAAAAGCGCCACGGCAAGCGCAAAAGCGCCACGGCGAAAGCAAAAGCGCCACGGCGAAAGCAAAAGCGCCACGGGTTTATTGGGAAGGGGCGTAATCATACATGCCGCTACTACATCAAAAATAAAATGGGAAGGAGAATGGCCGCCACCAGGAATTCTTATTAAGCACAGAATTTAATTCTTTGAGAAGTGATTTTATGGCTGAGAAAATAGCAAGGCCAAGGAAAACCGGTCAGGAAATAAATCGTCGATATTAATTTGTTGTAGGATAATTATTATTCCAAGAGAGTTGCTGCCGTGAATCAGAGTTTATAAAGGAGTGGGACCTCACTATCAGCACCATCAGGGCCGTTCCTCATTTCTTTACATTTCGTGGGATGCAAACAATTACGAGGACGGGAGGCTCTGTGAGCTGATGCATTTTTTTGAAGAGTTGTTTTCCTTCCGACTAGCATGCAGAGAAGAGTTCCGTTAATTTGAGACTTAGTTCACCCATGGGCGTCGCGAGGGGGGCAAGGGGGCGCTTTCCCCCCCCCCCCCCCCGGAATAGCACACAAAAAAGGAAGGGGAAAAAAGAGAAAAAAAGAAAAGAAAAAGAGGCGCGAAGTCATAGTGGTGTAAATTGAATGAGTTGGGGGGGGGCAAAATGTCCCTGCCCCCGTCTAAAACTGAGAAATCGAGAATTTGTTCAGAAATACAAGAATTTTTTGGGAAAAATATGTTTTGCCCCCTCTAGAAAAAATCCTGGCGACGCCTATGAGTTCACCGGTGTGTATACCAGTGTACAGGCGCGGTTCTAGAACCAATATTTTTGGGGGCTAGCACGGTGGATCCAGAATTTTTTCAGGAAGGCGTGCTGAAATGTTGACCGGTTATTTTTTCCAGACACTTAGGCCTCCGAAAATCAATAGGTGGGGAGGGGGGGGGGTTCATGCAAGGGCGGATCCAAAACAAAATTTTGAGGGGGGCCAAAAAAAAATTTGGGTCCCCGAAAAAAGTGGGTCAAAAAAAATACGGCGTGGGGTTCGGGGCCCGCTTAAGGGCCCCGAAAAAATTTGGATTCTAGATGCTCTGTGGTGCGATCTGAGGCAATTTCTGACCACTTTAACCAATGTTTTTTTGAGGAAAAGACTGTGGTGTACTCATTGCCTGCCTTTATTGCGATGTCACATAAAAAAAAAAAAATGGTTTCGTTTTGAGGGGGGGGGGGCATGGCCCCCTTTGGCCCCCCCCCCCCTCCCCTGGATCCGCCCTTGGGTTCATGCCACATTTTCAATGGGGAGCGCCAACAAAATCCTAAATTCATTCACACTATATTAACTAATGCACCCTTGTCACGGCTATTTCTTCTTTAGGGGGAGACCGTTCGCATGTACATCACAATCCTTCTTTATGCTAATGCAGTTTTTTTTTTTTACGGAATTTATTTTGGGGGGGCTAGACAAAATTTTGGGGGGGCTACAGCCCCCCCTAGCCCCCCCCCCCCCGTACAACCGCGCCTGCCAGTGTAGGCACACAATTGAGCTGCCCAGAGTTTGGATATAGAATAAGAAAGAAAGAAATTAACTCAGAACCTAGAACTCATTGGCCCACCCACCCCCGGCTCAAGAAACCAACAAGCCGAACAAGACCTCATGATGCTTAGCGATAGCGATGATGAGTTGCCCTGTGGACAGTCTTCCACATCATCGCAGAATCAGCCTGCAGGGCAGAAAGAGGGCTTGTTTCCGGCATCAAAGAGTTCCGTATTCACTCGAAACAAAGCAAACGGCTCTTTTAGAGCCACCAAATTTTCATAGAAGAGCTTAGAACTGTGCATCTCAACGATAACACTTCTCCTTTGTTTAGTGTCTCTCCCTTACCCCCCCTTTTTTTTAAGTTAATTTATTTATTTCTTATTCTATATCCAAAGTCTTCGCCTGTGTTACGTTCCTTACATGAAATCCACGACCTAACCTCCTCTGTCGAAAGCGTTGCAACTGTCTAATAGAACGATCCATTTCTCGATTTGTGAGTTATCTTCAACTCAGTCGTGTTTATTGGGAAGGGGCGTAATCATACATGCCGCCACTACATCTAAAATTAAATGGAAAGGAGTATGGCCGCCACCATGAATTGAGAAGTGATTTTATGGCTGAGAAAATAGCAAGGAAAACCGGTCAGTGCAAGCAACGTTCAGCGAAGAGTTTTGAAATTCCCGCTCTCTGGGAATTTCTAACCTAATGGGCCCGCGGGCGAGTTACGTGTTGACAAGCCTTACCCACCCACTGCCGCAGCCCTGCAGGAGAGCCTTAATCGACTTCCTAGATGTGTATGATATACTGAAAAAGAAAAAAAAATTAACTCATACACTCTGGGCAGCTCACTTGCGTGCCTACACTGGTATACACACCTGTGAAAAAAAGGCTCAAATTAACGGAACTCTTCTCTGCATGCTAGTCGGAAGGGGAAAAAATGTCTTCAAAAATGCATCAGCTCACAGAGCCTCCCGTCCTCGTAATTGTTTGCAACCCACGAAATGTAAAGAAATGAGGAACGGCCCTGATGGTGCTGATATAGCGAGTCCTACTTTCCCTCTCCTTTATAAACTCTGATTCACGGCAGGAACTCTCTTGGAATAATCTTGGAATCATCCTACAACAAATTAATATCGACGATTTATCAGTCCCTGAACGTTGCTTCACTGACCGGTTTTCCTTGCTATTTTCTCAGCCATAAAATCACTTCTCAAAGAATTAAATTCTGTGCTTAAAAAAGAATTCCTGGTGGCGGCCATTCTCCTTACCATTTTATTTTTTGATGTAGTAGCGGCATGTATGATTACGCCCCTTCCCAATAAACCCGTGGCGCTTTTGCTTTCGCCGTGGCGCTTTTGCTTCGCCGTGGCGCTTTTGCGCTTGCCGTGGTGCTTTTGCGCTTGCCGTGGCGCTTTTGCGCTTGCCGCGGCGCTTTTTGTTTTGCCGTGGCGCTTTTTCTTTTGCCGCGGCGCTTTTGCGCTTGCCGTGGCGCTGTTGGGCTTGCCGCGGCGCTGTTGCGCTTGCCGCGGCGCTTTTGCGCTTGCCGTGGCGCTTTTGCTTTTGCCGTGACAGTTGTGGGCCACCGTAGTCTACAGATTCACATTATCTGTAGTAATTAGTTGTCGCTAAGATAAGATTTTTCGGGCTGCCAAAACAAATAACGTCAAATATATCGAGGAGTCAGGTTGGCGTACACTGCAAAAACTGCAGTGTTAAATTTACACGATTGGTCCTATATAGATACCGAATGGTGTTAAATTAACACTACTGTTTTTGCAGTGTAGTATGTGACCCAGGTTCGAATCCCGCCTGGGCCAATATGTGGATTGGGTTTTCAGTCCTATACCTGATTCCGTGGGTGTTCGCCAGAATATCTTCTGGGCTTTTCCTTCCACATCTAAAACTGTAACTTCTTCACATTGTCTTCTCTCTTAAGTTGGTGTGATGTTTCCCCTGGGATGCTGTACCGACTATAATAATACAGATACAGATACAGGCGGGAATGGGGTTCGGTATAATAAGAAGCATAATTATAAAATTGGCTTCATCGTCATTGAAAAATAATGCGCACTACATTCTCGTAAACACGACAGCTGAATGCATAATGTGATAGCACTGGGCCCAACTTGCTTTTGCTCATAATTACATACATGAGGGGGGGGGGAGTTGAAGTATATTTCCCAAGTTTGGAGCCGCCCACCCATCGCCTCAATATTTAGGCTCGACTTTTATATCCAATTTGTACTGATATAGTATTAACCTGATGCTTTTCCAGGCCGGGCTGTAAAGATATTAGGCACGTGCTAATTATTTTGCTTATGTTTTTTTTTTTTTTTTTTTGCGGCCAGAGGATTGGACGGGGAATTTAAATCCCTACCCCCCTCCCCCCCAGTAGATTCGTCACTGAGTAGAAGCTACTTGACGGAACCTAAAACGCGGCTGTAACTTAAATGTATGTACTGCATGCCTTCATTACAGAACCGAGCCCAATCTAATACAATTTTGGGGTAATTAGCGCCTCTGTGTTCTTATCTGAGATAAAGTAGGTATCCGTTACACTGGGTGGAGCCCAGGACTATAAACCGACATTACAATTGCCACTTCAGGAGTGGTTATTAGTTACGCAACACACAATACGCCGCTCATTATGCATGACATCGCATGTAAATGTTATTGTTGCAAGGCTGCTTTCTTACATTTAGTAAATTCCTTCGTATATGTTTTGTTTTATAACGGCGTGGGGCCACAGGGCAAGGGGCCGCTTCAGTTCTATCTCACCAAACGATGTAGCTCTCGATATATTTGCAGTGTTATTTGTTTGTTACAGAGAATGGCAAATATATAAGGCTAAAAGACCAAATGCATCTATTATGTTTATGCTCGGTAGATGGGGCTATGCAAGGATTTATCGGTCTACTGAGATTTTATGAGGAAAAAG